GAATGCACGTTTTTCATAAATAAGGTAAGAAAAGAAATATTTTCAAAAACAGAAAGAAAAGATATTTTAAAAAAAACATCCTCATCACTAAACTTTTCGCACTTTCGCTTCATTTGATAATCAAATGACAGGAAAGGTATTCATCACTGGGTTTTGGTTTTGGGGAGACACATTTGGGTGTCTACAGAAACCCCCACTTTGACTGAGTTTGGAGAAATGCAAGTTTCAAAAACAAAAGTCAAAGTAGCGATAGGGACGGAGAATGATTCAGAACGTTTTGCGATCCTAAATCATTCTTGCAACGCCGATACCTGCAAACTAGCGTTAGTTAAACAGATAAAAGAGTTAAGAAACACGTATCTTGCACCGTCGAGTACACGTCTCTGAAAGTAACCGATTTGCTGCTGTTTTTTTAGTTTTGACGACCTCCTGCAAGCTAGAGAATGCCATCCTGCTTGAAGACTGCTACGCTTGTAACTGCTTCCAATTCTGCCATGATAATCTTCCGCAAGCTAGGGAACACTATCGAAGATTTCTTCGCTTGAAACGATCCTCTTCCGCTTTGTGACCATCTTCCACATCTTAGGGAACACGATCGAAGACAACTTCGCTTGAAATCACCTTCAGTTGTTTGTAACAACTCTCCGCAAGCTAGGGAATGTTGCCGAAGATATCCTCGCTTGAAGCTATCCTCATTTATTGTGATAATACTCCAAAGAAAATTATCGAAGACCTCCGCTTGTTGATCTTTAAAGCTTGCTTGAACTTTGCTTCTGTTATGCCTGTACGTTGGCGCTTTTGCTGCTTGTGAACCAGTATGTCGGTGCTTTTGCTGGGATGACAATCCTCTTTTCTTTTGGAATAGTTGCCAACACAACTCTTGTATGATGTATGACAATCCGATTTAAGGAAAGTTGTCAATGCTTCGTAACAATCCATCCTTGGAAATGTTGCTACGATGAAGAGACAATGCGTATCTCGAAAAATTTGCCAAAATTCAATTTTGGGAAAAGTTGTCAATGCTTCGTAACAATCTGTCACAAGAACTTTGCTACGATCGACAATCCACGTCTGGAATATAACTCTTGAAAGCAATCCACCTTGGAAATTTGCCAACGCTATGTGACAATCCTTTTGTGAAAATATTGCCACTATTAGCAATCTGCGTCTTGGAACATTTGCAAAAAAGAGTCGACCGACAATTCACTTCGGGAAAACTTGTCACTTGCTGAAATGAATGATAATCCACGTTGAGGAACCTTTGCCGAAATTTATGATGAATAGAGACCTACGACAATCCTTTGGGAAATTTTTGCCATAGGGAACTGGGTGTATGACAATCCAATCTCGGAAAACTTGCCAGCGATGACAATCTGAACTTGGAAAAAATTTCCAAACAGAAAAGGAGCACGACAATCCACGCATGGAAACTTTTCTAGAGAAGACAATCCAATCTTGGAAAAATTGTCGTTGAAGAAGATGCACGACAATCCATTTTTGGAAATATTGTCAGTTGGGGATGACAATCCAATTTTTAGAAAAATTTTCGTTTAAAAAGAATGCGCGACAATCCATATTTGGAAATATTGTCGTTTAATAAGAATGCGCGACAATCCGTATTTGGAAATATTGTCGTTTAAGTGCTTGCTTTTAAACCGATACGTTGGTGCTTGTAATGAGCCAATGCTTAGGCGCTTAAGCTAAGTGAGACGATTTTTTGTCAGGTCAATCACTTACTACGATTGTAATCGAGCCGACTACTAATCATGTCAAATTTCTTATATGGGCTAACTGGCGTACCAAGGAACCCGAAATTGCTGTATGAGGTCGAAATAACCATTCTGAGAGGCTTCGAGCTCTGTCGCTGCTGAAATATCTCTAGCGTCAAGAATTGGCTCTTTTTCCAGACGTTGGGATCTAGAGCCAGGCTCTGAAATCTATTGCCAGACTCTGGATGTTGTCGTTTGGCGCTGGAATCGGGTCTTCCCTATTCTGCTCTTACTGCCGATGTTGCTTGATTTCGCTTCGAACTTTAAACTTGGTCGTTTCCTTTCAACCAGATCTGCTCAAATCTCTTGTAAATTAAAGCTCTTCATCTCTAATTTACTGTTCCATGTAATTTTGGTCAAACTCCTCTCATCTTGGAAGAATCTCATTCGGTCATATTTGCCGTTTTTATTTTTGAAAAAAATATCTTGGAATGTCCTTAATTGCCTGCTGGGATGTACCGGCATTTATATCGTTGACTATAGGACTTTTCTAATCTCTTTAGGGTTAACCTAAGACTTAGTGTTTCTTGAATCATTGACTTGACATGACTCAAGGTATAAACTTTACTCGCTGTGATTGACTCGAGGTTGACTTGACTCAAAGTGTTTGACACATATGTTAGACTCAAATCAAGGTGATATCATGACTGACTCAACGTGTACATGACTCGTGTGTGCATTGTATTGTGATCGTGCGACTCGAAAATGCAAAAAAATCAAAAATAAAAATTTTCCGTCATTTTTGTGGAGGGTACCGACTTTCTCCCGAAAAATAAAGGCGCGAAAAAAGAATCGAAGTGAAGTTTTTTGAAGATGCATGTTGAATGAGCTTAGTCAAATGTTGTTTGATACTATCTCAATTATTGATTCCATGATGAAAGTATTTGGGTAACTTAGGCACGGAGGCTAAGCATTTCGTACTTTGTGATGCAATGATGAGTGATGAGCGATTTTGACATGACAAGGCATGCTTCAACGTTATGTTGAGATTTCATGACAAAGGGTTCCTAAGGGAAAGTATATTTGGTCATGTATCTGTGCGGTGTGTGAAAGTGATACTAAAGTTAGGCCGTAAGGGCTAAGTGTGTGGGAAAATATTATTTTAAGAAGAGTCAAATGATGGTGACTCTTTAGGCTAGGTAAGCTAATGATGTAAGGATCAAGCCCCCAAGTCTAGCTCTAAATGAATAGGGATGGACACAGGGAATCCCTTGATATGATCACGGTGTAAGTGTGTGAATGTGAATATGAATGCATTTTTATTACGGCCGCACCTCGATGTGAGGTTGCCTACGTATCCGTTAGGAATCAGGCCGAACGTAGCTCTAGCCGAACCTCGCACAAGTGTGTGTATACCTCAAAAAGGTCTTTTTAAGGGTTGTAACGTGGTTTGGATAAAGGTTGAAGAAGAAAGGGATAAAGGCTCAAGACCCTAAATAAGTCCCCAAGGTGTGCAACTTTGCTTTTGGAATATTTTGTTTTTTGGTAAATAAGATTTTATTACCAAAGAGAGAAAGTTACAACTTACAAGAGCTAAGTTATAACTACCATCAGAACACCACAAGACCTGTATAACAGGCCAACCCCCAAAAACCAGTTCTAGATCCTACCTAGCCACCGTCTAGGAAGGGTTCTGGGAAGAGCCTAGAACAAACTGGACTTAGATTTCCAGCCACCTTCTAGGAAGGGTTCTGGAAACCAGGACCAGACAACAACACAAGCAACAAACTACAAGGCAAATAACTTAAAAACCACCAAAACAACAAAAGCCTAAATAAACAAAGGATTTCTATTAAAGACAAGGCATCTACAAGAAAACTGCAAGCTTGAAACCTCTACCAAACCCAGAACAACAGCACCTAGCAAGCACCAGACCAGCTGCCACAAAGAGCAAGCAAACAGCAACAAGAACAGAACCAAAAACTGCACCACCTGCCAAACAGCATCAACAAAACCAAACAGCAGCCTAGCAGAAACCAGAACAACAACTGCAAACAACTACAACAACAACACAACCAGCACAAAACTGCAGCAGCATACAGAAACAACACACAGAACAAAACAACAGCACATCAACAAAACCAGAACAGAGCAAACCTGTATAAAAACAGCAGCAGCAACTGCACAGAACAGACAGCAACAGCATGCAGCAGCAACAGAGACACAGCAGCTGAAGCAGACAACAGCAGCAGCAAGCAGCTGCACAGAACAGACACAGCAACAGCAAGCAGCAGCAGCACACAAAACAACAACAGAGACAACAGCTGAAATAGATAACATCAGCAGCAAGCAAGCACAACAAACACAGACAAACAACAGAGCAGCACTAGCAGCCCAACAAAAGCCAACTGCCAAGAGAACCAAAACCAGGCTGCAAACCAGCTACCACCCAACCAAAACATACTAAAAATAGAAAGCTGCAACATTAAATCAGTGAGGCAAAAGCAATTTCCTGTTTATTCCTGTACACCTAATAGCAACATGATAGATAATGTCACGAAAGACAGTATCTGCAGGTTTACAGTCACCCGTAAACATCAAACTATTCCTCTGCAGCCATATACTGTAGATAGCCTCAGCAAAACACATAGAGTAGACTCTACCCTTGCTGCTAGACTTCCTGCAATTCTTAACTATCCATTGTTGTTCAATGCGAAAAGGTTAAACTGCTTTTTTCACATTAAGAAGTTTCAAAATCTGTTCCCAAATAGTCTTAGAGTAAGGACAACAAAAGAATAGGTGAGAGACAGATTCACAAGTGTTCTGGCAGAAAAAGCAAATAGGATCACAACTTGTATTCCACTTAACAATTCTATCCTTAGTGGCAAGTTTATCAAGCAAAGCTAACCAAGTAATGAAAATACTCTTAGGAGTGGCTTGGTTATTGCAAACAATTCTTTTCCACTCTACTTTAGGAGCCTGAGGTCGAATCCGGGCATAAAGTTTAGTAATACTCATTTTCCCATTTTTCACAATAGAGGACCAGCCACCAATGTCATCAATAATATCTGTGCAAGTCAAGATTTTCTTCAAAACCCATGAGCATTTCTTGGGAATAGTGGCAGTCCAAATATTCCTATTGTTGAAATAATAGGTATGCACCCATTTCACCCACATATTGTCAGATTTGTGAGCAAGATGCCACAAAATCTTGCAAATAGCAGCTTTATTCCAATCACCAAGAGTGGTAATATTCCAGCCACCACAAACCTTAGGAAGAGTCATATGATGTTAGGAGACAGGGTCCTTTTTTGCATAAGTGTTCTTCCCAGTCCAAAGGAAAACCCTGAACTTGGCTTCAATTTCCCTAAGAATCTTCTTAGGAAGAATGAAAATCTGAGCCCAATAAGCCTGAATACCAAAAAGAACACTTTTGATAAGCTGTAACCTGCCAGCATAAGACAAGTGTCTAGAAGTCCAGCAATCAATCCTAGCAGTAACCCTTTCAACCAAAGGCCTACACTGAGCAATAGTGAGCTTTTTAGAAGACAAGGGCACCCCAAGATATCTAAAAGGAAAACTACCTCTACTCATACCAAGAACAGTTTGCAGCTGGCCTTTATCATAATCAGAGATGCCTCCAAAATAAACCTCACTCTTACTTAAATTAGCCACTAGACCAGAAGCACAAGAGAATTTCTGGAAAGCTTGTAAGAGAAGCTGAATAGAGGTGGAATCAGCCCTAGAAAAGAGGAGAAGATCATCAGCAAACATCATATGGGTAATACCTAACTTCTCACATCTAGGATGAAAATTGAAATTAGGATTCCCAGTCATTTCCTTAAGGCACCTAGAGAGGTACTCCATACAAAGAGCAAAAAGAAAAGGAGACATAGGATCTCCTTGCCTAAGGCCTTTTTTTGCACAAAAAGGTTTAGCAGGAAAAAGCCATTAACCATCACAGAATAAGAGACAAAGCAGACACAAGTCATAATCCATTTCACAACAGAATGAGGGAAACCAAGCTCTTCTAGAACAGTCTGTAGAAAAGGCCATTCAACAGAGGTCATAGGCCTTTCTCAAGTCAATCTTGATCATACATCTGGGAGAAACAAACTTATGAGAGTAGCTTTTGATCAATTCAGTAGCCAGGAGAATATTGTCACCAATGTGCTTACCCGGGATAAACCCAGCTTGAGCATCATCAATAACAGTCCCCACCACTTTAGAAATCCTATTTGTGAGAACTTTGGAGATCAGCTTGTACAACATGGTACAACAAGCAATAGGCCTAAACTCTATGACATAAGAAGGATGCTGAACCTTAGGCACTAAGGTGATTGTTGTGCAATTCCACTGCTTAGCAATGACACCAGTCTCAAAGAAAGAGAAGATAGCAGTATAAATATCAGTTTTGATCATAGGCCAAGCCTTTTTGAAGAAAACAACATTAAAGCCATCAATTCCAGGCGCCTTATCATCACCAATCTGAGCTAGAGCACTATCAATCTCAGAAGTAGTAACCACAGAAGTCAAAATATCAATAGAACTAAAGCTGAGTTGAGAACCTCTCCTAATAGTGGCTAAATCAACATCAAGGAGAGAGCTAGCACTAGAACCAAGGAGCCCTTTATAGAATCCCACAATCTCATTTTCAATAAGATCAGGATCTTTCGAAAGGACATCATCTTCAGTAAAGATAAAATCAATTCTATTTCTACCTTGTCTGTGCTTCACAACAGAAAAGAAGTAGTGAGAATTGGAATCCCCAAGCTTAATCCAATCAACCCTGGATTTCTGCTTATAAATGGACTCTTGGATATTCATCCAATGCTTCACCATAGAAACAGCTTCAGCCTCTTTAACATGAAGGTCAGAATTAGAATAATCTACAGCAAGCTTGTCTTGAATGGCTTTCAAAAAGGCAAGAGTCACATCAACTTTCTCATCAACATTAGCAAAATACTTAGTGTTCAGATCTTTCAAATTCTTTTTGACAGATTTCAGATTCTGCCAAATAGTAACCATAGCCGAACAACCTGTAACACTATGCCAGCTTTTGTCCACAATGGAACAGAAATCAGCATGATCAGCCAGGCAATTAAGAAACCTAAAAGGTCTCCCCTTAGTAGCAGCAAACCTACTCACTTCAACCAAGAGAGGGTTGTGGTCAGAAAGGAGAGGAGGAAGATAGATAGATTCAACATGGGGGAACTTGCTAAACCAAGCCTGATTCACAAGCCCCCTATCAATCCTTGTAGCAATTCTACCATCACCATGACCCTTATTAGACCAAGAGTAAAAAGAACCTTTACTCTTAAGCTCACAAAGATCAAGGTTATCAACAAAACTTCTAAAATGATTGACCTCATAATCAGTGACAGCATTACCATTAACTCTATCATAAGAATTGAGAACAGAATTAAAGTCACCAATAACAAGCCAAGGCCCAGAAACAGCTCCAATACTAGAAATACCATCCCAAAGAGGTAACCTATCATGAATAGAGTGTAAGCCATACACAAAGGTACAAAGTATCTGATGATGAAGATCCTTGGAGCTAATTTGGACATGAATGAACTGCTCATGAGAGGAAATGACTGAAAGATTAACCTTGTCATGAGACCAGCCAACCCAGAGTCTACCCCTATGAGAAGATGAGTAATTACAAAACCAAGACCAAGAAGATCCAAATTTCTTCTGAATCTTAACACTCTTATCACACTTCACTTTAGTTTCCATAATACCAACAACATCCACACATTGTTCAGCTAGCAGTTTCTTAAGAGAAACTACTTTGCAGGGGTCATTTAGACCCCTAATGTTCCATGATAGGACAATCATGATCCCAGAGGGGGATTACCATCACCTCCGATAGGAACAAGTTCTCTAGCACCATCTCCATCCTTAGGCAAGGCATCATAAGTGTTAGAATGAGGAACATTAGTAAAGACAGGAGGATTACTATGACTTCTTTGCTTCCTTCCCACCACTCTCCAATCATCATCAGAAGTAGCTTGCACAGTAGTTGGAGCAGGAGTGAACACACCAGCATTATGCATAGAACCATTACCCCTAGATTCAGGCACACTAGGCCCAGGTGCAGGAACAGTAGCAGGTTGGGGCTTAACGACCCACACCTTTTGCTTAGGCTGCTCCTTAGAAGACACCTGCTTCTTTTGAGGCTGCACCTTCCTAGCACAGTCACGGCCTACTTTGTTACATTTGCTACAAAAGGGGGGTGCCCACTCAAAAACAACTTTTTGTTTAATCAAAGCACCATCTAGGCTTTCAAACCAGATATTCTTGAGTAAAGTCTTAGTGACATCAACTTCAATGAGCAACCTAGGAAATGAGACCCTCAACTGCTTTGAAGTACACTCATCAGCACATAAAGGAACTCCTAAGACACTTCCCAGTCTGCTCAGGGTGTCCACACCCCAACAATTCAAAGGTAAGTTAGGTAATTTCACCCATATAGGAACAGTTCTCAAAACCTCACCATGAAAGTCAAATTTCTCAGACTAAGGCTTAACAATAGCCGCCTTACCAAAGAACATGTGTGGACTAGCATTAAGAACAACATTCATATCATCAGAGTTTTGGAATTTAATCAGAAAGTATCCATCATCATGCCAAAAAACATCAGGTTTAGCTACAACATTCCAATTTTCAGCAATGTATCTATGGACAACAGCTATAGTAGGATAATATCCTATGACATAGAAAATTAAAAAATTCTTCCACTTAAGATTACCTTCGGTAATTTCGGCTTGTTGTAACATTGCAATAGATTTGCCATCTTTCACCATAGGAGCTATAAAAGAAAGGGTCGAACCCTTAGCAGTGAGCTTAGCAACGCTTGCCTTAGGAGCAGGAATATTTGGCTGAGGAGGGACCACATTATCCCCCAAAGAAACCGGGTCAGCACTTGGAGCAGAACCGATCCCAAAAATCAATGGAACAGTAGCAGGGGCTACTGTCTCTGGAATTCGCGGCACTGAACCAAAATTAAGGCCAGGATTACCTTCAGCCACCATAGTATCACCTATTGAAGCACAACCTGCATTCAGTTCAGATGAAGAAGCTCGGAGATCTAATGAAACAGTGGATCTGGGCACTGTTTTATTAGCCTTAATCAGACGCGTATGAAAGTCCTCAAGTGCTTTTAGCTCAGCTCTAGTAATCTCCTCAGTTGAGCAACTCAAATGAGAAGGAGGAGTAACCAGCTCATCAGGATCCTCGTCAATCTCTGGAATCGAAGAAGAACCCGCAAGCTTAGACACATTCAACCTATTAACACCATCATTCAATAGAGATTTAGAAGCATGATTCAAGTTGTTTGAGGGTTGAGGAGTAGATTGCTTCTTCTTTCGAGCCATTGGAACCGATTAAGCTGAAGAAAACCAGTCAATCAGATCACCATGGAAGGAGAGAGAAGGGAGAAAATTCAACGCAAGTCAACGCCCTGAATATTTTTTTATGCTTGAGGCTTTCTACTCTTTTTCAGCTCTTTTTTTTTTTTTTTTATAAGTGTGGACAATCCCGATCACGCGGTCTATCACTCACTTGGCATTCATGTTTCTCAGGCACGGTACCGAGCACTCGATAAGAGACGCAATCTGAGACGTGTTCATATCAAAGACATGTTCATGTCAATGAAATTGGAACACTTGCCCTTTTGTTCACTTTTATTTATTTATTTATTTTTTGCTATTTTAATCTTTTGAAGTCACTCAAGCTTTTTGAAGTTACATAAGTCACACACCATCCCATCCCAAGGTTAGGTAGATGTAGGTTGAAAAATGAAGGGTCTATCGTTAGACGAGACTCAAAGTGGTTTATCAAAAAAAGATTGCATATTTGAAGGGTGAAAGGTAATATGATCTGGCTACAAGGGGTGCCTTAAATCATTGGTATACCCTGTGCTTAGCTTGACAATGAATTTTTTTTTATTATTATTTTTTTATTAATGCAATGTAATGAAATGATCATATGCAAAGAAATAAATGCTCATTTTATTAAAAGGGGAAAAAGAGAAAAAAAAAATCTACAAAGAAAATCTAAGGGAAAAGAAAGGTGCCTATGCTAGACTTATTGGGGAAAGGTTTTGAAAAAAAAGAAGAAGAAAACATGAAATCTTGGTGAGAAGCTTGCCTTGTGCATTTGTTTCATCATTACCCCTTCTTTTTTTTTTTTTTTTTTTTTTTTGTCAATCACATGACTTAAACTCGATTCAACATGCATGGATGGAAGAAGGTGGGAAGAATGAATGTTGTGATATGGAGAAAGATGATGTAGATAGAGAGACATGAAAAAAAAATATTAGGAATAGAATGTACCCCCAACTCAAATGACGGAAAACCGACTCATGCATGAACCTAAGACATGGTCATGGTAACATGTACAAAGTGTGTGTTAAACTAGTGAGTGTAGGTAACATGTTAAGACTCGTGTCATGACCATGTGGCTAGACTATGTGACTAGACTCAAGCAAAGACTAAGTTAAGACTTCACGTATATGCATTAAACTGGACAAGCTGTGGTATTTTAGTCATTACTTTTTATCCGTGACTTTGATTGGAATGAAACCAACGCCATATTAAAGATAAAACCCGGGGCTACATATCCATAGATTTTATGACTCGTAGTTCTTCCTAGAACTCCGGCTATGACCAAAACAACTTGACGTTTGTGCAGTATACGGGAATAAAAATCCGGGTTGACTTAAAGGAACTATGACTCGATTTTAGACATATTTATTAGCTCAAATTAATTAATCAATTAATTAAACAAAGTCCTTTAGTAATTAATTAGTTTATTTAGTCTTAATCATA